CACGTAATAGGTTGTTTTTATGGGAGTAGGCAAAGTAGTTTTCTTGTCTCTTTAATGTCATAGTAAGTTGATCACGTCACTTGTAGGGAGTGTGTGGCTTCAAATAAGCAAAAACTATAAGTTCTCATGAGGTATATAGAGATTTTTAGTGCTGAGTACTAGTTTTTTTTTTTTTTTGTGGATTTAACAGCAGATTTAACCCAAAATAACAAAATTTGGGGCTAAAGCTTTTTTAAACTCTTCCATGTTCCTTACAGGTGACGTTCCATTTCCGCACTCAGCTCTGCAATGATGAGCGTACAGTGATCGATGACAGTAAGAAGGCAGGTATGCCCATAGAAATGGTGATCGGGAACTTGTTTAAACTGGATGTCTGGGAGATTCTGCTCATGTCCATGCACATAGGGGAGGTGGCTGAGTTCTGCTGTGACGTCATTGTAAGTATAATGTGATTTTCCATGTGGTCCCTCCCATTCTCCCTGGTCAGTACCACAAACTACAGAGGTGGAATTTAAAATTATAAATAACTGAATCGTCCAGACTCATCGGACATTGAATTGGATCTAAAGTAAATGGAATCTATCAAACTGAAATTCAAAGACACAAAAATCAATAATAATAATAATTTTATTGAATACTAATTATTATTAAGTTACTAGTCAATTATTTGTAGAGTACAGTAAAACCAGTAATTAATAAAATAATATAATAAAATAACCATTTTCTTTTTGAATATATTTTAAAATATAGTTTATTCCTGTGATGACAAAGCTGAATTTTCAGCAGAAATCATTCTAATATGTTGATTTGGTGCTCATAACATTTCTTATTACTATCAATGTTGAAAATAGTTGTGCTGCTTAATATTTTTGTGGAAACCGTGATACATTTTTTTCCAGGATTCTTTGATGAATAGAATGTTCAAAACAAGAGCATTTGATTGAAACAGAATTTTTTTTGTAACTTTGTCTTTAAGGTAATTTTTGATCAAATTAATGCATTCTTTCTGAATTTATTTTCAAAAAATATTCCTGAACCCAAAACTTTGAACAGTAGAAAATGATCTTAAAAAAATATTCACACCTCACGTTTGAGTGAAGGCCAAATTGTAAACTGACATCATAAACCGATAACCCTTTACAGTAAATGTGTTCAGATGAGAAATGGTGATTGACATTTCAGTCAGTGACCTTTATGCTTAGCTACAAGCACAAAGTTGTGGAATACCACAGTTCCAGACTGGAGTGTGTCATATGTTAGCCTGACAGAAAGCTTAAATCCTTACGAAATAGGATTAATCTGAGTCTGTTCCACATGGTATAATCATCATTTACAGCTGCCATCCCAGCTCCAGCACCTGAGATACAGTACTGTGGCTCTAACAGTCTCTAGCATTATGGGAATGCCAAGATTGTTAATACAAACACAGTCATGAACACATAAAACACACTTTTAAGCTTTAGAAATGGCTTTTAAAATACTAGTTGGAAATGGAATTATTTGCAATAACTCCAATAAATGTAACTTTTACCCTGAAAATTATTTATTTTAGGGATTATAAGTAAGTATTAGTGTTTTCAGTGTTTTATGTTCTTTCCTCTATGGCCGAGCAGCACACAGCATCCAATAGTGGCAAAGAGTCTGCGGCGTATCGCAGTGGGGAAAGATCCAGTGGACCGGCACATTCACACCTGCGGCATGGTCAACATGTTTGCCTACCACAGCCTGGGCTATGATGATTTGGATGAGCTTCAGAAAGAACCACAGCCTCTTTACTTTGTAATGGAACTTCTGAAGGTCTGGACTTTCAGTCACATTGAGAAAAATATTTGCATTCATTTGTAAATGAGCAGATATTTGCGTAAACATACTTTCATATTTAATGTGGATTTTACTTGTACTTTTACTTTACATGAAGAACAGGTCCCACACATTGCTTTAGCTTGCAAAGAAGGCTTGATATTTATCATCACTACAAGGTTTTATTCTAAAGACCTTCGCCAGGAATTTAGAAAGATCGAAAAGCTGTAGTGCTAACAAATATTCTTTGAATTGAATTATTCTTCGCAAGCTACAGCAGTGTGCAGGACTTTGTCTTCTTTAATAATATACTTCCCATATATGCACCTGCTGTAACCTTTCATGGCTTTTTATTTATCTGCAATATTATATTTAGTGAAATACATTATTCAACTTACTGCTTTCAGTAGATCTACGCCAGACCGCTGACTCTGTTTTTTTTATTCACAAGCGCAGTACACAAAATGACCACTAGGTAGAGCTATGAGATCATTTTCAAACCTGTTTAAGCCGTGGCATTAACTGGAAATTAATTTTATGTGCGAAACTTACTGCAGTAATCAATAATGGGTTCAGGTACAGCAGCCCAGTGAGAGTATGACAGAGAGTCCTGGGCTCTGAATGAAAGCGGAACCTGTGGTCAAGGGAACAAGCTCTTCAAACAGGGCCGATATGATGACACCACACTGAAATATAAGGAAGCCATTATGTGCATCAAGAATGTGCAGACAAAGGTAAGAATACACCTCTGTAACAGGTTTTAATACATTCAGTAGCTTAAAAATGGCTATATTCTTAGAAAAAAATCTCCTTGTTTTGATCATGAAAGGATAGAATAATAATACCACTTATATAATATTAATGAGGCATGTCTCATTTAATTGAAATGTGTCTGTTTCTTCAGGAAAAGGCATGGGAAGCTCCCTGGCTGAGACTGGAGAAGATGGCCAACACACTCACTTTAAACTACTGTCAGTGTCTGCTGTGCATGGAGGAGTACTATGAGGTCATTGAACACACAACTGACATCATCAACCAGCACCCTGGTGAGTAACAGGATTGTCAGTTCTCCCACCATTTACTGACCAATTACAATCACAGACAAATGGCAACAGACATTTGCCTCATCAGTGTGTTAGACCTGTTGATGTCTGCCGGCACTAGTTTTCACCGATTGCTCATGTTGATTCTGTGTTTGTCGGGTCTTAGAATGCCTGAGAAGAACTGATGTACTGTAATCGGTTGACTGTCGCTGTTGGTCTGCATCTGTTGATGCGATGTGAATTGGCCTTATAACAAGATGTGTTTCCTGATGTCAAATGCACCAGTTGTTGAAAGCATTCTCTGTATTTGCAGGGGCAATGAAAGCCTTCTATCTCCGTGGAAAAGCCCACATGGAGGTGTGGAATGAAGCTGAGGCCAGAGATGATTTCATGAGTGTCCTGGATCTGGACCCAGGCATGAAAAAGACAATCAAGAAAGAGCTTGCAGTTCTCAAAATGAGAATGGAGTTAAAAAATGAGGAAGACAGACTGAAATACAAGGGCATGTTCACAAAAATGGCGAGAGAGCAAGAGTCTCTAGAGCTGGAGAATCCAGAGCAAGAGATTCCAGAGCAAATGTCTCCAGAACAAGAAACAACTCAAGGAAAACAGAGTTCAGAGGAAGCACCGATAGAGCAAACAGGTGAAGAACAAGCAAATTCAACGCAAATAACTTCAGCACAAGAAGTTACACAAGACATTGTTTCACAAGAAGAAACATCTACTGCACTATCAAGTTCTGATCATGAGAAACCAGAACAATCAGAACTCAGAACTCAGAATGTGACTCCAGAACAAACTACCACAGAAGAAGCTACTCCAGAACAGTTAGATGCAGTAGAAATGTTTCTGGAGCAATTAGTTTCTGAAGAACCATCACCAAAACATACAACTCCAGAGATAACTTGTCCAGAACACGCAGACCAAGATCTCGTATCGTCAGAACAAATGACTCCAGTTGAACCCTTTTGACTTTTTACTTCTGTAATGCTTTTTCTGCTGCTTTTCTTCATGCATTCTACATTATAATGTAAGATTTAACTTTACCATATAGTGATTGTAGTTTTGCCAAATCATCCAATAAAATAGTACTCAATCAGTTGCTATGTTGTGGTGGACAATTGAATAATGAATAATTAATTCATCAGTAGCATTTTGTGTCTCTAAACATAAACTTCATGGTAACTCTACATGTCCCACTCTTTATGCACTGACATAGCAAACAGTCCTATAATTAATTAAAATATTAAAAATAAAATGTATAATGTTTATTAAATCTATCATGTTCATAAATTAATCATGTTTGAGAGATTTAAATATTTTAACTAATATTAAATTAAATTAAAACTATTTAATTATATGAGGTCTACTTGATTTCTTGATTGCCAAATATTACTGTAAGACTGTTATTACCATTTCAAGAGTGAGAACTGAAAACTGGTTATGATTTTTTCCCCTAATAAATTCGATTTTGCATTTTTATAATTTAATTTTTCCGTCAATTCATGACCCCCACAATGATATCAGTTGAGGAACAGATTAGATCAATGTCATTACATAAGATATTATTTTAAGGGGATTCCCGTGTTTCTGTCTACAGTTTCCCAGCATATTTACATTCTCCTCATGAAACCAGGCTTGTCATTAAGTGGGGACAACATTGTGAAAGTCTAATGATTAGTTATGATTAAATGAGGAACAGCACATAGATAATTCAAACACTATCCGCTAGTTTGATTAATGAGAGATCACTGAGGTTTTGAGCTGATAAAAAGAAAAAATAATTGGTGTTCAAGTCTCATGTAATTTTTCCAGATATCCTTCTTTTATTCATCACAATATATGGGCTCTCTCTCTCTCTCTCTGTATCCTCCTTCTGACCACTTCAATCTTTGACTATTTGGCTAAGTAATAAAATAATACGAAAATAGCATAAGTAATGCTTGTTTATGGTATAAAATGTTTTAAAAGGCTCGCAAAAACACATGGAGGTATTGCAGCATCCCCAGGGGAAGAACATTGGGAGTATTGCATAGAAAGACCAGCGCACCTCCATCACTGATGCAGAGGAGGTGAGAGAGGAACATCACTGCACTTGCTGCTGCTGTGCAACAACGTTAACCTGCTGTTCTTCCGCTGCAACATCACAAAGGCACCTCCTTTTTAATTTTCACACAAGAAAACTGATTTTTTTTTCCTACGCCTTTTAAGACGTTTTGGGTAGCCTAATGTTGCTGTGCTGTGGAAATGCTGAAGTCCAGATGAGTCGCGTCTCTGTGGTTTAGTTGAGTGTGTGGGCAGAGGAGATTGTCCTCCGATCTGGATTGAACTGAGCGGAACTGAATCCATTAAACACGATCACACAGAGAGGATGACCATATCGACATGGGAGGATAAAGTCACAACGCCTCTTTGACTTGTTTTAATTAGTTAAAAAAAACTGCGAGGAAAAAAATCTGGACATATTTTTTCTACGTTGAAAGTCACAATAACCGTATGAATACAATCAAACGCGTCATTCGAAGTTGAAAAATCGTAAACAATGGGAAATTAGCCTCGTCTGACAACTTTGATAATATTTCTTATCCACCAAAAGGTTTTTTTTTTCTTTCAGAAACATTAACTTTGGATTTCCACAATGGCAATAAACACAGATACGGAGTTTGCGAAATCGAATCTGGGGGAGAGCGGCGGAACGCAACCAGCCGAGACCGAGAAACTCCTCGTGACCACCGAGCCCACCGGGGTGAAGACCTCCAGCTCCTTCACGGTCAGTGTCGGGAGTGACAAGGCTCTCGACGGGGACCAGAACGGCCACAGTCTGCCGCTGAGATCCGGATCAGCGGGGCAGCTCGGGTCGGCTCCTCTCTCCCCGTCCAGAGTGAGCCTGAGCCGCACTTCATCGACCGGTAATGCCGCCCAAGAGCAGCAGAAACCCAAAGACTACCTCATACTGGTCATTTTGTCCTGCTTTTGTCCCGTGTGGCCACTAAGCATCGTTGCATTGGTCTATTCAATTATGGTGAGTATCAATAAGTTATAATTGAAATAATTAAAGTCTGGGTGTTATTTCCTAATTCAGACCAGCAGTCCCACATTGTACTGTAAATATTTCTGTATGGCACAAAATTGTGCTGAAAGTACTTGAACAAACCACACAAGCATCTTTCGAGTCAATAAACAGTGTCTATCTGTTGTATGGCAAGCCTTTTATAGGTATCCCTTAAACTAATGTTACTTGTAGGCTACTTTAAAGCTGAATAGTCTAGTCACTAGTATCTTTTTCCAAATTTACTAGTAACAATTCATTAGATTCTTATTCCAACAGTTACTGCATCTATTAGCCTAGTCACTTATTCAATGCATACTAATTTTGTTAATTGTTCAAATAGTTACAATATTTTCCCGTTTTCTTAGTACATTAGTATAGTACTTTATTTCAGATTAGCGTGCATTCCATTTGTTACTTCTTTTTTTTTTAAACTCTTATTACTGTGGTAAGATTTTTTTTTTAATTGAACTATTAAAACTAGTCATTTATATATGGTAAAAGGCAATCATAGCTAATGAGCTACATACTAGTGTCTTAAAAATACTGTCCAGGTACTAACCAATACATAAGTACTAGCACAACTGAAATAGATAGCAATTAAAATGATGTAATAAAATAGATACTAGTTAGTTTTAATAGTACTAGTTTAGTTTTAATTTGATACAAGTGAGCATAATTGCTAAAATGACTTGCCATACTCTTGCAAATCATATGCAAAAGCACGGGAGCTGCATTGAGAGAGCAGAGCATAGATCCACTGACAGGTGTGATTTACAGCCCTGCATATGCTCGCAGTAAACGGACCTGCCTGCGTGCTAGAGAGTTATTCGCCAGAAAATTGGTGCAGAATACCTCCACCGCACATCAAGCACCTGCACAGCACAAACTCTAGGGACTGTGATGCAAAACATTCAATTAAGCAGCATAAATATGATGCAGATTGTTCTTAAAAAGCCAGAAAATGAAAGCAAGCCTAATTTTGATTGAAAGCATTGTTATTTTTGAACAAGCTTTAGGTTCATACAGTTGAGGCTACAAGGCAAACATGTTTACAAAGCATAGATACAAATATCATTATTGATCCCCAAAATACGCCAAATAACAGCTTTATTTCCATCCATGTAACTTAGAGGATCAGACTGTGAGAGTGCTTGTATGTAGGGTGTGGTACCATTTATCTGTATTTAATGAAGATGTACAAAAGATGGTGTTCATGACATGTCTATGAACTATTTAGCACGATCCTGCATTGTCCCTCTGCAAAAGATATCCTTATTAGCAGATAACAGTATGCCCCGTTTCTATAATCAAAGATGAGTGCTTTTGTGTTCACTTTTTCATCCCCTCGCTCTGAAAGAACAGTGAATCAGCAGCGTATAACCTCAGCAGTATACAAATTAGACTTTCCAGTGGAGTCACAGAAGAGCAGCTTTTAAACATAATTTAAGTAAATTTAATAAGACACAGTCAAATTCAGCCTTAAGTGAATTTTGAACCATTGTGTGCTCAGTGCTCATTACAGCTTTCTAAGTGTTTCAGTAGGACATGCACTATTAGAGAAACACAAATTAGAGCATTAAATTCTCATCAGCGGAAAAGCGCCATACAAATGTGCTCCGGTTTCTTGTAAAGATCAAAATCCTATATAGATTTACAGTACAGAATGATCCCTGCTGTGCCCCTATCAAAAACCATTCCGGTGGGATCTCACTTGATGCCTTTCGCAGAGCCTTTGTGTTATGACAGTTTGGATATTTAGAGTCCTGGGGCCTCATTTATAAAATGTGCATACGCACAGATTTGATCTTAGAGTGTGCGTACGCTAAAATCCACGGCAACATTCATATTTATAAAAACGGTCTTTGACGTGGAAAAGTACTTACCGCCACGTCAGGGTCTGAGCAGGCGTACGCACTTTTCCTTGTGGCAAAGTCGGAGTACTGCAGCTATTTGAACATCTAAGCTGCAATAATAATAAAAGTGGTGTACTGTACGTGAAAGCACTGAATTCATCATAAACAACAAATATGCAGTGTAAGAGATTAACTGTGCAGTGTAGTCAGATTTTTTTATTAACGGGAGTTTTTGCGAGATTAAACTTACCTTTGTAGTAGCCTAATGTTGAGAGTTCTTTACGCGCTTTCTGTACACAGTTAATACCATGTTGTTTTTTTATTATTTTATTCTATAAGAGAACTTGCAAAGTCTTGATTTACTACTGATGCGTAAAATAGAAAAGAAAACGCCGACTGTTTTGTCTGTGTAGCCTATAAGAATAGGCCTATGTTGTGGAATAACGGTTTTAATATATTCTATTCAATAACATTGTTAACTGTTTTTATTTATAACATCTTCTGCT